CAGTGATGTGCACGACAGCCTCTGCTGTCCCTGGTCTCTGCCTCCTCATTGGCTGAGATCGCAAGTAAGCCAATGAGGAGAGAGAGAGGGCGGGGCCAAGCCGTGGCTCCAAGAAGAGGAGGATCCAGGCTGCTCTGTGCAAAACCACTACACAGAGCAGGTAAGTATAGACATGTTTGTTATTTCCCACAAAAAAAATAAACTTTTAATATCACTCTAAAGCTGTCCATCAAGTATACCACCAGCAATAATGGGGAACTTGCAACATAAAAATCTAAGGTATTTATGGACCCTTTAACCCCAGTACACTAAAGGCTTCTTGGTGCAAGGACATTTTCTATCTTGTCTGACGTGTCTTACTTAAAATGATTGTAAAATAATTTTTTTCTATTTTTAAAATAACCTACGTTATACTTACTTACTCTGTCTAATGATTTTGCACAGAGCAGCCATGATCTTCCTCTTCTGGCAGCCACTTGCTATATGAGCTCTTGTGAGGGCTCGATCCTGTACCAGGCTCTGTGTGTTCAATAACAAGCAAAGGGCGGTTTGGTCCTGCCCCCTGATCCCTACTTACAGGCTGTGATTGACAGCAGCAGGAGCCAATGGCTTTCACTGTTGCCTCCATGTCCAGTGAGAAGGGAGAGAGAGCTGCTGCTCTCGGGCACATTGCTGGATCAAGATTGGGCTCAGGTAATTATGGGTGAAGGCTGGGAGGGATGCTGAGCACAGACTTTTTTTACCTTAATGCATAATGCTTTTAGAACCACTTTAACTAGATCTCAACAACTGGGATGAGCTTCTGGTTCAGATCTGACATATGTGCCACCCAAACCCCGGTTATCAGCAGTTCAGTGAATAAGTGAACAAACTAGCCACATTTTGCAAGAGTGCCCTCCCTAACCTCCGGGTCAAGTTTGTAAGCAATCATCATTTGCAGATTTGTCATTTAGCAGTTTGTAGCAGTACTGCTAAATGACACGTCAGATCCCTGGCATTCCTGGAATGTAAATAGCAGCACTGAGGATCCTAGGGTGACTTCATTGACCATATTTGGTCAATGACATCAATGAGGTTCTTTTGTCGCTGTTGTCTACATTCCAGCAGAGCCAGGGATGTGTCATTTGTAATAGGAGTAGCAGCGGAGATCATGATTGACGGAGATCTCTTTAACTTGACATATTTACTATATGGGACATGGTTCATTTATTTCAATGAAGAAATTTTTTCAATACCCCCACATCCCTTTAGGGAGACAGGATGTAGGTATGAGGCCCTGGTCCCCATCATTATAGAGTCAAGGTGCCATGCAAGGTGGAGGAGACATTGCTTTTCTACTTGCAAGGTACTTATAATACTTATATATCTATTCCCTGAATGGTATTTTTAAGTATGCTAACTCACTAATTTATAGTGTTGTCTCAATGGTCTAAATACCATACCATACCACACAGAGAAAATGGACTGTGGCATAGACATCAAAACCCTAATAGTGACCATTTTCTAAGACACCACAATGTATATACTGAAAAAAAATTTGTAAAAAAAATGATCCACTGCATACCACATTAAAACCACAATGGTGTTCTGAAAGCACACAGAATAGTCTGGACATTACTGGGGGTGTTATATAAATCTCAACAAACAGTAACCAAAGGCTAATGCCAGTAACAATGTAACCAAAGAATAGGTATCCGGTGTTAGTTGTCGTGTGTTTATATGTCTCCTTACTATACTCAATAAACAGCAAAAGCTGTAAAAAAACAGCCACATGTGGTAACCCTAGGGTTTATAGACCCTCTAAAGATATGCTTCCTTTTATATTTATTTACTGGTCAATAGGCTACAATCCTATATAATTATCATGGAAACGCACACTAGTGTGGCCATTACTTGCAAAGTCTAAAGAATAAATCTTGACTCATTTTCACAGCAAATGTATAAGGAGTGTTTATTAGCAATATTTATAGAGCAGGCATTAGAAAGCGGGAACGCAATGGAGCAAATAGATGAAGGCAAAAGCAAGCCATGCAAGCAAGAACTGAAATGTTGAGTAAAGGCAGACATCCACTCTTATGCATAGTTCAATAAATCACTCTGGGCTAGACATGTGCAATTGGTTTTGTTACAAATCAAAATTTGGACAAAATTTTCATTATTTAGAGATTTGGATGTATTCAAATTTCCGAATCACAATAGTAACAAATTTCAACAAATCTGAAATAAATTATAATGAAATGAATTATCTGAATTCAAACTCAAAAATTAATCTGAATTTGAAAACTAATTTGAATTTGAAAGGGAATTCAAATAAAAAAAATAATTCAAATTTCAAATGGAAACATATTGCAATAAATACAGTAAGGTATAAAGATAAAATAATATGATGATTCCTACTTAGGTTGCTGACTAGAATAGAATAGAATAAAACAGAGTAGGATAGAATGGAAAATTATAGCATAAAACAGAGTAAAAATAGAATAAAACACAATATAATAGAATATACAAGAATACAGGGTGTCCTTAAAGTCTGGACATATAGGAAATATCACTAAATGTATGTTTTCTTCTCAATAAGCATTTTGTCTATGTGTCCTGCCTTTAGGGATGTTTTGTAGAATACAATATAATGGGATAAGTTATAAAAGAATAGAAATAGTTATAAAAGAATAGAATACAAAAGAATAGAATACAAAAATAATAGAATAGAATTGCATAGAAAAATAGAATATAAAAAAATAGAAAGAATATAGCTGTCTTCCAAAATCAAATTTAAAAATTAGAATTTTGAATACAATAGAACAAAATAGAAAGAATATAGCCGTCCTCCGAAATTTGAAATTCTAAATTCGAAGTTTGGAAGACAGCTATTCTAACTGAAATTTGAATTTCGGAAGACGACTATATTCTTTTTATTTTATTCTATTCTATTAAAAATTTGAATTTCAGAAGATGGCTATATTCTTACTATTTAAATATAATTAACTAGAAAGAATATAGCCATCTTCCAAAATTAAAATTTTAAATAGAATATAATAAAGTAGAAAGAATATAGACGTCTTCCAAAACTCTAAATTAGAATAGAAAAGAATATAGCTGTCTTTTGAAATTCTAATTTCAAATTTTGAAATTCTAATTTTGAATAGAATAGAAATATTATAGCAAATTTCAAACTGATTTAAAATAACAAATACACAAAACAAATCCGAATATATGAAACAAATTTTGAAAATGAATCATTATTACATGAATGTTATGAGTTAATCAACAAATATGAAATGAAACTCATTTTTTTGTTGTGCACAAACCTACTCTGGACCAAGTGATGGTAATTTATGATGTTAGTAACAGATGCATTATCATGTACTGTAACAAATATTACTACCTATAAATTGTTGACTTTCTGCTTAGCACCCGAGCTACATGTGTTTCACCCGAGTTACGTGTCCCCCAGGAATAGGTTATGCTAGATTGCCCATCCATGTAGTGATTTCCATGTCCATGTCTGCCATTTAGTAAACGCCATAAGGGAAATTAAAAAGGGAAACTGTATAGCAAAAAATACAGTAACACCATATAGGGGAGAAAATTATTAAATTCAGTTCACTAACTCACCTGTTTGGTGAGAGTCACAATACCCAACAAAATGCACTATAAATATGTTTAGGGAAGAGCCCCTAATGAAAAGAAGTTTCTACTAGGTGACCTAGGTAGTTTAACTGAAAATATGCTTTATTGAAACCACATTACACTGAAACATCATGAAAACACACATACAAAAATAAAACTGTGTCTCCCGTCACCATTAAAAACATGACAATGTTGTCACTTTAAAAATTAGGGAACCTGGGTTCGATGTTATTAGTACACGATGTCAAGCATCCAAAATTGCTATATCCTAAAACTCTAAACCTCCACTCCATAGAGCAAATGACCCATTCAGTACAAACGTCTAACAGTGTAAGGAGGAGGTAGAGTCAGGATATAGCATAAGGGATGGCAAATCGTTGGTAGTCAAAGCTAGGGCTGAGAAAAATAATAAACATACAGCTATACAGCAATTAGGGCATAATTAACTGTAAACCTCAACCCTATTAGCAATATTAATGAATTAACGAAAATTTCATGTGCAAATGAAAAGCATAATTACAAAAATCCAGCTGCCTTCATGTAAACTGCGTGGAGAATTATTAATAATGCAAGGAAACTGGCTAGCAGTGCAATCAAATGCGGCCGTGACTCAGAAGCAGCACGTTTATTCAAAAAAGGTCCATGCTCATTATTGATATTAAGGTAGGAAGCCCTCTAATTGAAAGAAGGTAAACTCGCTTTGGACCTTCAGGAGGAAATCTTTGCAAAGAGCGCTATTTTAGCCGGGCCTGGTTCAAACAGTCTCAGTAAGAGGAGCCAAAGGTGGAACGTAACCAGGAAAGGTGCCTCAAGCGGTTAGCTTGGGATCAAGATAGTTGTGGATAAAGTGGCTGAGGGACTGGGGTTGCATCAGAGTCCAAATAGCCAAGTCTCATTAGGACCACAAATGTAGTGAGCTAAGGAATATATATAGAAAGTTCCCACTTGTGTGCAGAGTACCATCAATATTGTGGCATTCTCACCGCAAGATAGTCCACATACCGATAGCAGATTAGACAGACACTCTCCCTTGTCAATGTAACTTCCTCCACTGCAAAGTGATTTCACATCCTTGTGGCTGATTAGGCATCCCAGCTCCCTGTTAATGCATCCCCACTCCTTCCAGGGCCGGAGCAAGGCCGCACATGTGCATTAGAAAGTTTGTTCGTACTCCGCTAAGGCCAGCACGAAATTAAAGCTATGCATAACCAGACATCAAGACGTAGTCCTGGGGTGCCCTAATGTAAGGGCTACAGTCGACGCATTTCGCCAATTGCCTAGAACACGGGCTTCGTCAAGACCAGATCTGAAAGCATATGCTTTGCATTGCACTTGGTGATGATATAAGGCTTGGATGCAGCTTAGTTGCAGGATCCCATTCCATGAAGCTCTCTATGCTCTGTTGTGCTAATCTGAAGGCTACACAAAGTTTGGAGGTCTGTAGCTATTGACTCTGAAGACAGTTGGCAACTTTTGCTTTTAGATCCATGCACCAGCTCCTGCCCACATATCATATTTTGACATACAGCTACATGCGGCTGTGTCTGTGCAGCTACTTCACCTACATTCACCTCTATCGGCTGCCTGCACGCAGCCCGGGGCAGATGCAGATGCAAAAACGAAGGGAGTCTGCATACGGGATAGGTCTCTGTAACCATCTGAATGAAGCCTAAGGCCTATTCACATGGTCACAGCCACTGCTCCCAACATCCACATTCATGTGGGTGAAGGTGCATGGCCCCGAACACACCCTGGGCGCATTCAGGCCATAAATCAGCATGGATGTCACAATAGGAGCAGCAGCTGTGTCAACAATGCAACAATGATGTGAATGACATTTGTGTGTTCACTGTGCAAGCATCAAATGCTCCTGTTAGTAAACGCAAGGTCTTTTAGATACTTATAGCGATCACATACCTGTTAAAAAAAAAGTAACAGTAGTGCTAATGTGTGCCCTTATCAACCTAAACCTGATGTTATCCTAATGTTACATTAACCATTTACATAAACTGTTTTTTCTCCCTGCACGCATCGCAGTGTAATTCAAAAGGGAACAAAGCTCTTCTATAGTAAAAAGCATATATTTGCTTTGAGCTTTACTATTCTGCTACATTACATAAAAGTCACATTAATGTGATATCATTTTAATTAGCAGACTTTGTTGATTATATTTTGGTGTGAATATATGTGGGTGCGCAAATTTGTTTAAATTGTTCTTACTATTTATTCATAATAAATACTAAGAAAAAATAAATGTATGTAAATTTGCTACCAAATTAAAGCCAAATTATTACTGCAAAAATCAAAATATAAAATTTTAGAGCAGACTACAAAACCTAAAAGAGATAATTTGTGGGGGCCTGTTACTTCTGTGCCACTTAATTGTATTGTGTTTGCCCAGCTGGGCCCTTGGTGTTCCCCCCAAGTGCTTAAGGCATACTCATGTGACAGCCTTCTACATGGGAGAGGTAGCTAAAAAAAAATGTTGGTTGTAGTTACCATCACTGTGTTTTCAAAATTCTTCATTGAATTTATGGGGTTTTTTTTAAATGTTGTATTTGATTTTTTTCCCCAATTTTGCTGTCAGTTGCATTCTGAAAAATAGGGTTCAAATTCAATGATATGCTCCTTGCAAAAAACATGCAGGGATCTACTTTTGTAAATAGAATAATTTTGGGGTAGTTTCTGGAGTCCTGTCACCTGCTCCTAAGCCACTGTGCCAAAAACTGATATGCCAGTTTTCAGCCATTGCCTTCCCTTATTTCTAGGCCCTGCTGTGTTTACACCATGACTAAGGCATACTTGTTGGTTCTGGCCAGCTCAGTGGATTGCTTCAAAAAAGGCCTGGATTGTTTCTTAGATACACAGAATATAATTGGATACTAACATATATAGGTAAAGTTGATCCAGGGAATATCTGATTGCCTCTCGGGGGATCAGGAAGGAATTTTTTTCCCAGCAGGAGCAAATTGGATCATGCTTTGCTGGGTTTTTTTTGCCTTCCTCTGGATCAACTGTGGGTATAGTATTATAACTTTTTTTTTCTATGGTTGAACTGGATGGACTTTTGTCTTTTTTTCAGCCAGACTAACTATGTAACTATGTTATGTACATAGTACAAAGTATTTTATAGCATCATTACCTACCTATAGTCATAAGAAACTGAAAAAAAAACCCCTAAAACCAAAATGTTAAACATTTATTTTATTCTTTTGTTTCTTTAAATTCATGTAACCCTAATAGAAAATATATTAATTACAAATTTGTTCAACATGAGAGAGAGAGAGAGAGAGAGATACACTATATTGCCAAAAGTATTGGGACACCTGTCTTTACACGCACATGAACTTTAATGGCATCACAGTCTGCTGTTCCCAGTTGCTTCCACTTTGTTATAATACCACTAACAGTTGACCCTAGAATATTTAGTAGCAAGGAAATTTCATGGCTGGACTTATTGCACATGTGGCAACCTATCACGGTACTACGCTTGAATTCAATGAGCTCCTGAGAGTGACCCATTATTTCACAAATGTTTGTAGAAGTAGTCTGCATGCCTAGGTGCTTAATTTTATACAAATAGATAAGAAAATATCCGCACGACCGCCTCTTTATTGAAGCGACCGCAAAATATTACATCAAAAATACAATAGGTTGATGCGTTTTGGCTAAAAAGCCTTAGTCATAACCCATAATATGCCATGGAACATAAAAAACGAAAACCATATATATAAAGTGGTAGAGAGGCAGGCCGAGCCCATCAATAAGTTGATCACCATAACGGCAAAATATTCAACAGGTGGAATGCACGGGAAACAGCCTGAATCATTCTTTCACAAATGTTTGTAGAAGCAGTCTGCATTCCTAGCTGCTTGATTTTATACACCTGTGGCCATGAAGGTGATGGGAACACCTGAATCCAATGATTTGGAGGAGTGTCCCAATACTTTTGGCAATATAGTGTATATATTTATATTATATTAGATATATATATATATATATATATATATTGTTTCTACACCATATATTTTCTCCAAAGCTTGGAAAAAAACAGGCCATTTCTTTTGCAATTTCTTATTTGATTCCAGACAATTACAAAAACACTGTGCATTGTGTATTACCTTTTTTATGATAAAATTTTTACCATTTTTTTCTCTTATCTCTGAAAAAAAGGTATATAATTTAACGTGTGGTATAAAAAAAGTACTATCTGTTCCAAAAAGCAGTTTAAAGACTGACTAAGATGACTGCAAAACAAAGCAGCAAATGTAAGACAATCTATTATATGTCCAAAACCTGAAAAAAAAGCCCAGGGACTCAAAAAGGTTTTTATAGATTAAAGGTACCAGGACTCAAGTGGTTACGTTTAAAGGTAAATGTGGGGATTACATTTAAGGCTTAAAATGTATTTCTACTTCAGGATCAGCACCAACTTTATATTTGTTAAATGTCCAAATTCATATAGAATAACTTAAAAAAATACAGCTTTCCTTTTTAGTTGCTCTTTTGTGTGCCCTCCAGCCAGAAAAACAACGAGGTAGTTTATTTTGTTTATGAGGGGTCTGGGCAGCCGTGTTTGCCCTAATTAACTCAGTTTGAAGACAGATCTTCAATATCAATCGTAACCAAACTTGAACACTGCAAATCTTAAGTGGGTTTTTTTTTTCAAATTTGCCATCAAAAATGTAAATGTGCTTTAAGGTTAAAGCGGAGCTCCACCCAAAAGGGGAAGTTCCGCTTTAAAGATTGGTCCCCCGCTTCCCATTAAGGATTGGCACCTTTGGGGAGCTGGGGGGAACAGGTACCCGAATTTGACAGGTACCTGCTCCCACTTTCGCTGCGATCGTCTAGGCAATCAGAAACGAAAGTTGTCCTCCTACCCTCCCTCCTGAAGTCTTGGTCCCAGAAGATGACAGGGCCATTCAGGAAGCGCAGCACTACTCGTGAATGCTCAGTGGGCCCCCCAGCTGTGAATCCGCAAGCTGTCACAGCCGGGTGCCCACACTGAAGATGCCGGCCTCCTGGCATACAGGACCGCCGGTGAAACGGGCTGCAGCGGGGGCAACGCTTGATTGTGGGACAGGTGAGTGGCTGTTTTTTAAAAGTCAGCAGCTACAGTTTCTGTGAGTGGAGCTCCGCTTTAAGTTTAAGGGATAAGTTACTGTATGCTGAATGTATGGGTGACATCTAGAGGTTAAGGGTAAATTTAAAGCAAGTACATATCGTTTGCAGTGCTGGGATGCTGGAATCACAAATCAGTAGGTAAGTCAGTAGGTAGAATAACCCAAGCTGGTAGGAGTGCATGGAAATAAAGAGAAGCACTAGAAGAAGTTAGGAATGCTCAAGGACACACGGGAATACTGGAAGCAGATGCTCTGGCACTTCAACACAGACCCTGGCCATGGATTGGCTAAGGTGCCAGAGGCCACTGTTTGGCTGCATACTAACAGCTTTGAACAGGAAAAAAGGTCAGGCCAAAGTGCATGGAACAAGTGAGTTGGAGTTTGAGAGTTAGGTTTAGGGGCAAGCATTAAGTTCAGAGTAGGGGTTGGATTCTAGTTAGGTTTAGGGGTCAGGTTACATTTTAGTGATACTTTTTTGGTGGTTTGGTTGGATTTGGGTAGGGAAAATTAGAGAGTATTTTGGTGTTAAAAAATACATTTTTGGAATAATAAACCAGTTTTCCAGGGGGTGTGTATTATTTGTGTGTAAATATAACTGGAGAAGAAAGTTCATGTGACAATAAATAGCGCTTCTAGTTAATGTTAAAAATAGTGTACCATTCAACATGGTCAAAAACCTTGTCAGGATAGTAGTGTTTTGGGGGCTTTAACTAGTGTACTTCATAGATTGTTTCAGTATCAAATTAGCTTCTTAATATTGGATACTTTTATGCGGTCTCCATCTTAAACAGCAACATGGTCAAAAACCTTGTCAGGATAGTAGTGTTTTGGGGGCTTTAATTCATGTAATTCATAGAATGTTTCAGTATCAAATTAGCTTCTTAATATGGGATACTTTTATGCGGCCTCCGTCCTAAACAGCAAAGGTAAATGACAGTTTGGTGTGTTCCCGTTCTACATGCAGAAATAGAGTTTTAAAAATAGAAAGTGATCTAATGTTACTGAGCTCTAGGGGATCTGCACATTTAAGCTTCTCTTAATAAAAGAGGAAATTTAGTAATGCAACATTAAACATCCAGGTGCAAACATTAGTACTTTGTAATGATAATTATATTTAAGAAAGCATTATATTCTAGTTCTTGTCTGCAGCATTCATTAACCAATACTAATTTGCTTAGTGCTTTCATAGGTAAAAAATAAAAATCTGACTAACAGCAGTCATAACCTTAATATATTTTGTTCAACCTAATTGTAAGCCATTTGTTGTATATAATGCAAAGTAAGAGAGATCTAACTTATAGATGTAACCTGTATATTTTCATTATATACTATATGTAAAGGTCCAGGCCATGCTAATGCACATCCATGTGTTCATATCATTAAAATAATTGATAATAGATAATTGGGCTTTAGAGATACCAGAGAGAATTGTATATATGATAAAAAGATACATTTTATTATCATTCTAATTTTCTGTGTTTAGGCCTTGTTCATAGTGCTATCTATTACACCATTGTACTTGCATATGCTTGTTCGTATCCTAAATCTCCTAGTTTATTTTAATGGAAAATTATATACATAACACAGCAGTTGATATAAACTAAAACTTCTTTGCAATGCATATATTTGTATTCAAAAAGTGCAGCGCTGTAAATAAAATGTCATATCCAAGAGTGATATTATTATAAGACCAATAATAGTGCAAATAGTTCATACAGTGCAAAAATCATATATAAAGTGTAAATGTAAAACATAAATATATATATATATATATATAATGGATATAAGTCCATGTGGAAGTAATATTCTGTCATCAATTGGTGATGTTAAGTGAAGATCCCGTGCTCAGGTGATCTCAAATACATTCCATGTGAGAATTATTCCATTCCGTGAAGTGCAAGGAATATGGTAAATATGCACACTCACCAGATGCGCATTTTAAATATGAAGTGTTGCATAAATACTGTAATCTGACAGATGTCCCCTTTAAGGTGGAATGGGTGTGCAGCCTGAAAAGGATCTACCTCCTCTGGGACCGGAGCTGCTTTGCAGCTGTATTTCACATGGGACTCTGAAAATTAGCAGCTCAGTGTAGAGCCAAGAAAGAGGGTGCCCATAGTGTAGTATTATAAAGATTTATTGCAGAAAAACTTGTGATCCACGTGGAGAAATATGAATAAAAACAGAGCTGTGGAGTAATCACACTGACCAGCCAAATTCAAAGATGGCCACCAAACCTTCGTGAGGCTCCGGCAGCGTGACGTCACGGCGTACGGCCCCTCCTTCATATCCATTTATATATATATATTTATGCTTTACAATTACACTTTATATATGATTTTTGCACTATATGAACTATTTGCACTATTATTGGTCTTATAATATTATCACTCTTGGATACAACATTTTATTTACAGCGCTGCACTTTTTGAATATATATGCTATTGAAGGTTTCTGGTTTCCTTGTAGTGCATTTTGCTGCTGATTTCATCTTAAGCTCTCGCTGATTTCTCTATTGAATGTATATATTTGGTTTGAACCAGTACTGCTAAAACAGCTTCTATAGGTAGAAAATGGTGCAGAAGTGGACAGCACTGGCTAACAATCCTACCAAGACGGAACACAAGTCCTTTAATTACGTTTACTTCTGTATCAATGTAAGCCATATATTTGGGGTGCTTTCCAGGCCTGAATATATCCCAACTCTATTGGACAGAAAATATTTCCTTAATGGCTATCCATTAACTGTTGGTATAGTCTCTGCAGATATGCCTAATCAAATCCTTATATCATCTAACCTTAGATAACAACCAGCTACTGCCTTCCAGAGTTAATACAGGTCCAGCTCTTTACAGAAGTAATAAACTCCTATAATCTTCCAAAGAAGACCCAACTAACTTCCAAGACTTATATACCCAGTAAAACATCTGGTCCACATCCTGTAAGGAATGAAAACAGCAGTCAGGTGGAGAGTGCACCCCTCCTCAGTCTGCTTTGTACATTTTCGGTGTTACCTTTAAAGTCTGATTATACATTTTATTATTTCCAATACATAGTTAATGAAATATTGTGCCAGGTGTGTGTGTCATAAAATTAACAAAATGATCAGTATTATTACAAATCTCATGAAACAAAGACAAATAAAAGCAGCGCAAACAAAATATGACACACAATAGCAAAGTGAGAATATGATACAAAATACAACACTTCCAAAAATATACACAAATATTTAAATCATTTGACATAAATCCACCAACTGAAAAATGAAAATTGTGATGAAGTACAAAGTCCTTATTGATTCACCGAGATCACCACGTGAGCAACATAACGATAATTGACTGAATAAAGTGCACTCAGATATCACCACGTGCTCCAGAGGAAAACCTCCCCCAATTCAGGAGCACTCACCAGATATCTTGGCCCATCCAAACCAATAGCACTTGTAGT